CCGGAGCGCGACCACGTCGAGTTCCAGCACCCGAGCTTCGTGCGGGGCCGAGAGCAGCTACTGGAGCGCGTGCGGCGCAAGGTGTGGGCGGCCTTCGGGAATAAGCAGAGCCGAGGCGGGGTGCTGGGGCTGCCGGCCTTGCTCCTGCGACCCAGTCCCGACGGTGCCTGCCACCCTCAGGTGCCGGCACTGCGCGGAGAGGACGGCCGCTGGCGGCCAGAGGACCTGGGCCGACTACTGGGCGAGGTGCAGGCTTTGCGGGGAGTGCAGGAGAGCACCGAGGCGCGATTGCGCGAGCTCAGGCAGTGCGCAGGTGGCGGGGAAAGAGGGGACAGGGTTGGGGGTTCGGGATGAGACCAAAACTGGCCGCCTGGTGGTTCTGGGAACCCCTTCCTCTGTCTGGCCCTGGCTTATGGGAGATCTCTAGATCGTCGGGGTGGTTTCCTGGCTCCCCAGCCTCGCCATTCTGTGGGGGGTGGTGACTGGGCGAACTCTCAGATGCTTCTGCACCCTCCCACTCCTTCCCCAGGCAGAACGAGATCTTGTGGCGGGAGGTGGTGACACTTCGGCAGAGCCACGGTCAGCAGCACCGGGTCATCGGCAAGGTGTTCCTCTCCTCATGCCTCGCTTCTCCCTCCTACTCCTCGACACCCTATTCCTCCCATTCCTCAGGAACCCTATTCCGCCGTCCAGTCTCCCAGAGCCCCTGTTAGACCTCCCTCCTTCACCTGGAAGTGCCTGGGGTGGGGGCGGGGTCCAAAGTATGAATTAACCCTTTGCTTTATCTTCAGTTGATCCAGTGTCTCTTTGGGCCACTTCAGGCGGGGCCAAGCAATGCCGGAGCCAAGAGAAAGCTGTGAGTGAGAAAGCCAGGAAGGCCCACACCTACTTCCAAGACCCCACAGAAGTCCCCTTGCAAGGATCCCTTCTCCTCCAGAAACTCCTTCACCAGCAATCCTCATCCTTCCCCCTGCACTACAGGCTTCCTCACCCCATCTAGGATCTGCTTTCCCCAACTCCACCACCTGGTACCCCCATTCCCAGATCCTCCCATTTCTGGACCTTATACCCAAATTCCAACCCCAGCAGCCCCCTACCCCCTCCCCTCAAAAAGCTTCCCAACAGCTGAGGGCCTGGGGCTCAAACCAGGTTCCCTCCCTCCCCTCTCTACCCCCAAAGGGCCCCCATCTCTGGGGGGAGCCCCTTCCACCTCCAGCATGTGACTGACGCCCTGGCAACAGGCCTCAGCTCTGCTGACTTGGCTGCTGGGGCCTGAGGGAGGGAGGGAAGTGCAGGCCGAGGGGCATGGGGGCTGACCCTGCCCCACCCCTCCCTATGCCCTGCTCAACCACACAGGTCCCTGATGCTGGATGAGGGGAGCTCTTGCCCAACACCTGCCAAGTTCAACACCTGCTCCCTATCTGGTGCCCTTCTGCAGGACCCCTACTTCATCCAGTCGGTAGGCTTGTCTTCTGCCCCCTTCCTGAGGGCATGGCTGGGCTTATGGAGAGCCTGTTCCTTCTCCCCATCCCCTAAAAGGAAGAGAAGATGGAAGCCAGCCTTTCCCCCAACCAGACCCAGGCCCTCCAGCATGGACTGAACCTCCTCCCTCAAACCTCCCTTAGACCTGGCCCAGGTGGGTGTTGGTGGGGTTCTGGCTCTCCCTGTGCCTACAGGCCAAGGGCTGGGCCTAGCCTTCTACTTACAGCCCCTCCCAGAGACGACTTTGGGCCTCAGCCCTCACAGGGCCAGGGGCCCCATCATCTCTGACATCCCAGAAGACTCTCCATCCCCTGAGGGGACCAGGCTTTCTCCCTCCAGTGATGGCAGGAGGTAAGGGGGACAGGGCTGCCCCTGGGAGGCCTGTGGGGGAGGGGCTGGCAGCCCAGATGGCTGTGGGGGTAGGGGGAGAAGTCAGTGCCAGGGTCTGGTTGAAGCTTTTCTCCGGTGCAGGGAGAAGGGCCTGGCACTGCTCAAAGAAGAGCCGGCCAGTCCAGGGGGGGATGGCGAGGCCGGGCTGGCCCTGGCCCCAAACGAGTGTGACTTCTGCGTGACAGCCCCCCCACCGCTGCCTGTGGCTGTGGTGCAGGCCATCCTGGAAGGGAAAGGGAGCTTCAGCCCCGAGGGGCCCAGGAATGCCCAACAGCCTGAACCAGGGGATCCCAGGGAGACACCTGACAGGTGAGCAGAGCCCAGGCTGGACCACAAGCCCTGTGATAGAACAGCCTTACCAACCCCTATAGCTTCCCAGCCATTAGACTCCATGATACTCACCTGACTTCTTGGCCCCAGCATCCAAGTCCCTTGGAAAGCAGAACCTCCCAGTCAGGGCACTCAGCATCCGTGGAAGAGCTCAGGAACCTACATATTAAATGAGTTCCCTGGGGTGATTGTAAAGTACACAGTAGTTTAAGAAGCATTGGTGGCCATGAGGTGGCTCATGCCTGTAATCTCAACACTTTGGGAAGCTGAGGCGGGCGGATCACTGAGGTCAGGAGTTCAAGACCAGCCTGGCCAACATGGTGAAACCCCCACCTACTCTGCTAAGAATGTCAAAATTAGCTGGGTGTGGTGGTATGCACCTGTAGTCCCAGCTACTCAGGTGGCTGAGGCAGGAGAATCACTTGAACTTGGGAGGTGGAGGCTGCAGTGAGCCAAGACTGTGCCACTGCACTCCAGCCTGGGCAACAGACAGACTCTTTCTCAAAAAAAAAAATAGTTATTTAGTTGTACTAGCTATATTTCAAGTGACCACCATATTAGACTATTAGCAGAAATATAGAACATTTCCATCAT